TGTGTGTGTGTGTGTGTGTGTGTGTTAGCTAATACTAGCAGCTGTTGACTCCAGATTAAACTCTACCTGGGTTTACTTGCTCAGGTGGGAGCTGAGACGTTTTTATTTCTATTAAAAAATGAAAAAACGTTTTGAGTAGGTTTACACTTTGTTTTTAGCTCATGCATTTTCTAGATGTCTATCAAGGAGATGTTCATCTAAGGGATGACAATGGGCACACAAATTAGTAAGGAAATCTTTGTCAACATTTAGAGTTGGTAAAATTAACAAAAAGTATTTTTTCAATTCATAAACTCATTACATTAATAAACATAAGTAATAACAAACTATAACTATTTGTCAGCTACCAATAATTAGGCTTTTATTTATTGTTAACAATAGGTATATTTAATTATTGATGGATACACACATACACCCACACATACATTTGCTGTTAGAAACTATTTTTATGTACTGCACCACATGCATTGCCTACAACTTGATTACTGAGCTATTACAGCACTCATGACCTTAAGCAGATTAGATGGAATAAATGCATTTTTGTATAGAGAGCATTTCCATTTAACAGCACTCAGGTCTGCTTGTAAAAATGCAGCTTACTGTGGGTCATCGCACCCAGCTCCGTGGGAAGAAATCTAACCAAAGTGATGATAAAAAAAAAGAAAGAAAAGGAAAAGAAGAGGAGGAGGATTGGTTCCTTCTGACTGAACTCACAGTGATATATTCATCAATAGTGCTGAAACCATGCAAGCAAGGCCGCAGATAGTTTAGCTGTTCTATTCTTGGCAAGGCAGATAGTGCCCCTCTTGTTAAATTCATCTGTCAATGCTATTGGAGAAGAAGATAAGAAGTGGAGTGACCCCACATGGAATCAGTCAAACTCATATCGATCACTCTTGCCTTCATTTCAGCTGGATGGTTAAAAATGATTAGAGTTCCGGAACTGAAGTTAATTCTCGGGGATTGGCTCTCTATAACAAGAATCTGACATAATCGTTGCAAATGATCTCGCACTCTCATGCTATCAAATCCAGCTCCCCTCACAGGCAGAAGTTTAATCAAGGACTATTTGTCATTGTTTAAGATTTGCATTACCCCTGTCTGCTAAAGTCTGACACTGTGTGTCCAGGCAAGGATACTGCTATGACTTTTTTGTCCACCCACTGGAAGTAAAATGATTGATTAAAATGTGGTTTTAATGTCAAAGGCTCTGTCAGCAGCACGCTGGTAAGAAATGGGGGAAAAAGATTACTTTCTTGTGTAGAGTAAACTGCAAATGACTGTTGAAGATGACCCTCCACTGAACGAAAAAAAATGTTAGTTGACAGTGCTACAGTGAAACATGGGTATCTGGAGCTGTTCAAATATTTTGCAGATCCCCTGACTAGAACTGAATGAAAGTCAATGAAAAACAAAAAAGCCCAATTATCTGTTCCAGTTCTGTTTCTTCCTCCAGTGTAGTACTCCACAGGTCTCGGCACTGGAGTTGTCATAGCTGCTCTTGGATGTTCACAAAAAAGGATGACTGCAATGATTCACCTCACTTAGTAGCAAAAACAAATGTGAGTCTTTTCAAATGTCATAGTGTGGAACTCAGCACTCACCACTACTGTCATGGTCCGCGGCCCAGTGTCCAAGGAGCTGATGGAATGCCCTCGCCCACGGGTGTGGCTGTTGACTCCACACCTGCATCCCATCCCAGGCAATCATCAGGTGAACTATTTAACCCAGCTCAGTGTTTTGAGCCCTCACCTGCCTGTCCTCCTGCCCGCCTGGAGTTCGGATCACCACCGGTCTTCATCTCCTCTGTTTTCCCTGGAGCTCTCCCGCGGACCCTCACCCCTCCCTCTGGTTCCTACGTCCCAGCCTTGATCGTAAGATTAACAACTCTACCCTGCTTATGCTGTTATTTCCCCGTTCCCCAGTAACTCTCTTCCTCTTTCTGTTGCAGCCTCCCTCAGTCCCGACTACGGCGTTCCTGAGTTGTTTATCTCCCGGCCCCTTGGTTTTCCAGTTAATCGGCGTGTTTTCCTTTGACCCTTCCGGGACACCCTTAGTTAAAAATATATTTTGCGCGCACCTTGGCGTGTTGTCTCTGCTTCTGGGTCCAGCTTGTGTGCTGAACTACGGTTCGTGACAACTACAATTTGAATATATTCATGAAAAGCAAGGACCAATAACTTGCATCCATCCAAGCTCACAGCTGATGAGCAGTGTGTTTTGGTAATTGTGCTTCACTTCCATTTCTCTTTAGGATTTAAAAAAAAACATGTAGAAGTAAACATGAGACAAGTGGTTGCAGAGTGCAGAGTTGTGGGAACATAATGGAAAGAAGAGTTGCATTCATTAGCAAGACAAACCTTTGAATATTTTGACTATTTTCATTCAAATCACATTCTACAAGTCATAGTTGTTTCACAACCACATCCATTGGAGCTCGCTGTTTCAGTGCCAAATACCACTGCAGTATTCTCCTGAATGATGTCCCGAATGGTGTCACCCATCAGGCAATTCCTCCACATCAGCACTGATATAGGAGGAGAAGAAGTCAAAACTGGAAGCGATGAAATTCCTGAGTTTTTTTCTCCAAAGCCTCGTTTTTTTCAGCCTGTTGCAGCACCTCCCTCTTTATAATCTTTTATGCAGGTTGAAGGTGGACCAATGGGAAGCATTTAAATCTGTATTATAATGTCCCACCTACTGTCATGGAAGCCTGTTCACTTTGTAGATCTATCAGCTAATAGACCTCACAGGGGGGGTCCCATCTTACAAATTCTGGCATATTCTCTCCTATCACACAGGCACTCGCTCACTCTTGCTTTCTCACTGTCATCCCCTTAGGTCCACATTCATTTGTGATGCCACTTTCAGCAACACCACAGTAAAATTTTTCATGAATTTCTAAGATTCTAACTCATCTGTTGTTTCAGAGTAGCCACACCTCCTTGCCCTTATTACCACCACATAAATCAATATGCTGAAATTAACCCACTATATAGTGCACAACACTCACAGGAGACTTTATTAGGTACACATTGCTAGTTCCGGATTGGACCCCCTGTTGCCTTGAGAACTCCCCTAATTCTTCATGGCACAAATTTAACAAGGTGCTGGAAACATTCCTCTGAGATTCTGGTCTATATTGACATGATAGTATCACACAGTTGCTGCAGATTTCCATGATGTGATTCCCCCATTCCACCAAATCCCGAAGGTGCGCTAATGGATTGAGATAAGTGAGACTGAAAAGGCCATTTAAGTACAGTGAACTCATTGTCATTTTCAAAACACCACTTTCAGATGATTGGAGCTTTGTGACATCCTGCTGGAAGCAGCCATTAGAAAATGGGCACACTGTGGTCATAAAGGGATGAAAATGGTCAGTGACAAAACTTAGGCAGTCTCTAACATTTAAATCATGTTTAGTTAGTAGTAAGGGGCCCAAAGTGTGCCAAGAACCCACTACCACCAGCAGCCTGAACCTTTGATAGAAGCAAAATTCATGCCTTCATGTAATTTATGCTTAGTTTCAACTCTACCATCTGAATGTGGCAACAGAGATTGACACTCATCAGATCTAGGGATGGGTACCGGTTCTGACATAAACGGTAGTAACCAGACCGAAAAGCAGCGCACATTTCGGTGCTTCGTTTCTGTGCTTTTTTTTTACTGAGACATCATACAATTTGGATTCCAGCCAATCATTTTACCTTTGCGAGCGTAGTAGGCGGGCCCAGGTACGTACGTTCTTTTAGAGCAGAACTACAGATTAAAAATGCCCAAAGTGAAGCGGTCAAAAGTCTGGCTGTACTTCACAGGAAAAGATGCAAACTCAGCAGCCTGCAACAAGTACTTTAAGGTGATACTGTGCAAAGGAGGTAACTCCTCGAATCTGATGAAACACCTGGCGACGTATAGCATTTTGTTAAAAGCCGAGAAATGCGCCGTATTTGATAGCTTGCTGCAAGACCTCACACCGTGCACATCTACTGTGCGTGGGTTGCCTGTTATTTGACCCGGAGTTACATCCCCCAAAAATCCGAAGAGGAGAGTCCTGGCCCCTAGTCCTGTCAAGTGTAGCAGAAATGATGACGGATGATGACGGCAGCAGCAGCCGTTCTTCTCTGCGTGAGTAGCTTAATGTTGTTTGTGTGTAATTTACGTTGAGTAGGCTAACCACGTTATTACATTAATGCATGTAAGGTGAACTAGCAAACATCGTCGTAGTTACATGTGGCTGTCTTCTTGTTTGATGGCAGATGCTCTCTTCACCCTGGCCAAAAAGGGTAAAATGACCAAAGAAAAAGTGGAAAACAGCTAAACATGAGAGGTTTTTGGACAAAGTTTGTTTTTTCCATTGTTTAAGCACTGCTTCCAGCCAAGAGTGATGCCATAAATCCCCTATAGCTGCAGAAAAGGCTAACATTGTTATCTTTTTACAAAAAAACAGCTGAACATGAGAGGTTTTAGGACAAAGTTTGTGTTCTCCATTCTTTAAGCACCGGTTCGAGCACCGTTTAAGCACTGACACCATTTCAAAAGTACAGGGTTGGTACTGGTGTCGGATAAAACCTAAACGATACCATCCCTAATCAGACCAGGCAATGTTTTTCCAATTTTCTATTGTCCAGTGTTGTTTCATGTTCTTGGGTAACAGGAATGGCACGTAGTATGGTCTTCTGCTGTTGTAGCCCATCTGATTCATGATTAGAAGTCTTGTACAGAGATGCTCTTCTGCATACCTTGGTATGCAGAAGATTATTAATAATAAATAAAATGTATTATTATTATTATTATTATTATTATTATTATTATTATTATTATTATTATTATTATGTTAACCTTAGAGACTGTTGTGTCCGAACATCCCAGCAGTTTCTGAAATCAGTCTTTTTGGCACCAACAGCGGTGGTGCCAGTCACTTAAAATCACCTGTCTTTCAAACTTACACCCAGCATTTTGTCTTGACCATGTCTACATGTGTAAATTCATTTAGTTGCTGCATTGTAATTGGTTGAATAGATTTTTGTATTAATGAACAGTTGAACAGGTGTTGCCGTTTAATAGTGCTGTTCAAAACTATGCATTTCATCCAGTCTACAGTGTAATTCAAAACTGTCAATAAAAAGCGGTCTACAGATATTTTACACTATATCCATCGACCAGAACCGTGTCTCTTCATTTGTCTGAGCAGCAGGTTTTTTAAAAATGCTATCAAACCTGACACCTAGTTGAGACTTTGCTTACTGATAAATACAGTGCATTGGCAACTAATTGAAGATTAGTACATGCAAGCACAACTGCTGCAGTTTTCATTGTGCTTTTATAGGGTGATATGGTACAATCAAAGTTTGTTGTAAGTTAATTAATAACTCTCTTTATTAATGTGGAGAGATATGGCTCAATGACTATGCTATTTTTGTCCAAGTACACAAAGTAGCTTAAATATGGTGCAGGTGTTTGGACATTAATTTAGCTTTATTATGTAGGAGTGATGCATCCCTTTAGTGTCTGAACTTTGCTAACAACTGTCTGCATTTTTTCTCTAGTTACTGCACTTTGTAGATGAGGGAATGAGTAAAGTAGTTGCCAGCTCAAAAAAGCCCTCATCTCCTTTATCTTCTACCTTATTCACCCGTATGTACTTCCATTATTCATTCCCTGAGTACCACCAGTCCACCATTGTTTCATCATCAGATTCTCTTTGTTATGTTTGAGCTTTCCAACCATTTGATTTTATCTGCTACCTTTGAATTTAACCTTGGCCTTTTTGCCTCCTGTGTCTGCTTTAGTTTAACCTACAGCTTTCCAGTGTGTGTATTTGTGTCTGCTTTCTGAGTAACCCCAAAAAGTTATCAATTGTGACTTTTTTTGTATCAGTACCTAATTGTGCCTTTACAGTGTGCAGAGACATATCTAATACAGGATGATCTGAAGAGCTTGGTTATCATAGGGGGAATGTATTATGTGATGCACAATTTCTGTTCCTGAGTTATCATATGACTCATTTCTCCATGTAGTCAGCTACAAGGTCTGATTTCTAACCTGTACCTGAGGTATTTGTCCGATATGAGCTATCTCAGAGGACAGCCAAGCCAGGCAATGGCTCTGGTTTCCAGTTCTGTCTTTCCCCAAATTAGCAATCCAGTGGGGTCACCTCTCAGCCTTTGCTGCCATCATCAGGCCCATACTCCAAAAGGATTCCTCTGTTGCCACTGAATGCCAGCTTAAGCTATTGAAGGTCTTCTCCCTCATCCATTTGCTCCAGAGGGGCTCTGCCTTTGTCATCAGGTGTAGTGTTTCCAGTTAGCATGAGTAGTTTCACCTGTGTTTACCTAGTTTTTCATGTCCAGAAGTATGTTGTATTAAAAAAGACTGTCCCCTGAACAGTGTTCTCGTATCCACTCAAGCCCTTGGGGTCTTTTTCTTCCTTGTTAGTCTCTTGTGTTAGATTCTGTATCTCCCCTGCAGTGCTTTTTGTTTATATACCCTACCTTTTTCCCTTTGGTAGATGGGTAGGCTGCAGGTCTCCGTGCCCCTGATAAAGATAAGCAGAAGAAAATTGATGGAAGGATAGTTGGATATTAGAAAGTAAAAAAACAAAATAAACCTGCTTGAATAATGCATGAATCATCTATAATGGATGGCTCTGAGAAAGTTAACACCTATGTTGTCAGTTTAACCTTCCTCTCGTGTTAGCTTTCTGTTATCATCTCTTATGTTAGCGGGTCGGTTTTGACCCGTGAATTAAATCAGCTATAAAATATACTAAAAACAATAAGTTATCATCCAATTTGTTTCTCATCTCTTGGTTACCTTGTTAGGCTTCCTTATCCATGAAAATTTTGGTTTT